ATCAAAGCTCCGGCTTGTGGTCGCCAGTGAAATATGCGGCCTCAGATCGCAGTTGGCTTTCCTCTTTCGGAGCACCTGTGACTAGAAAACTCGATGCGGAGTTGAGCCCGTGGGCCGTGGAGGTTATTTGGTTTCAGTTCTTCTAACCGGCAATGGCCTTCCATGGTCTCAAGCAGAGAAGAGTTTTTCCTAACATCCGAAGAAGAGCTATCGAAAGACGTGGGCAGTGGCTCACAAAAGCTCGTACCCTGCCGCAAATTTTGTTAGCCTTTAGGGTGCTATTTGCTCTTTGAGAGCTCTTTGAGAGCCAGTTTGGTAGGGCGTTTGGAGCGCGGACTCTAATCTGGGAGAACTGGGTTTGATTCCCTACTCCTTCACATGCAGCTGCTGGTGTGACCTTGGGTCAGTCACAAGCTGAGCAGGGCCAGGTGGGCCCTTTGCCTAGCCAGGATTCTGATTGCCTCTGAAGATTGGCAAGTCACAAGTTCTCTCGGAGCTGTCCTCTCAAGAGCAGTTCTCGAGAGAGCTCTCTCAGCCCCACCCACCTCACAGGGTGTCTGTTGTGGGGAGGGGGAAGGGAAAGGAGTTTGTAAGCCGCTCTGAGACTCCTTTGGGTAGTGAAGGGCAGGGCACAAATCCAATCTCTTCCTCCTCCTCCTAACATCTGCAGTCCAAGAGCCTTCCACTGGAAGCGTCAGCATGGGCAGGGGCTAAGGTTTCCATCTCCGGGTTGGGAAATTCCTGGAGATTTTGGGAGTGGAGCCAGAGGTGTATGGAGCAGAGGGACCAGTGGGGTATAATGCTATTCCAAAGCAGCCACTTTCTCCAGGGGAACTGGTCTTTGTCACCTGCAGAGCAGATGCAATCCCGGGAGATCTCCATCCGTCACCTGGAGGTTGGCAACCCTAAGTCACAAATGGACACGGGCCTGAGCATTCCTCCAGAATACTGTCTGCTGCACGAGATTAATGTATCATTCCTTGGGAGGAAGTGTGGAGCTGGGATGCAGAACAGGGAACTGTGCACGAAGATGGATATATACTAGAGCACTGGTTCCCCAAGTGGGCAATACCACCCCCTGGGGGGTGCTGGAGCAATCCAAGTGGGCAGTAGGAGCCTTGGGTCCAATTGGGGGGCGTTGAATAAAAATACGGGGGTGGTGGTGGTGGAAGCGTAAAGAAAGCAGAGTCCAGAACCTATCTAAAGCAGCCTTTTCCTGCCTTCTCCTGGTCTTCCCTGGGATCAGGGAGGGAGGCGGAGGGGGAGAAGGGTCCCCACAGCCAATCACAGCCATGCATTTGCAAACTGCAAAATGCAGGTGCACCCTTGTAAGACTGGTGTTGCTGCCGGGCTATTGTGTGGTGGTTGATGCTGGCCTCTGGCTTCAGGCCAACAACATCTCTCTTTACTATGTGCAAATTTGTCACTGCATCTTTTGGTCCACTTGAAGGTAGATTTCCAGGGGGGCGCTGAGTAATTTTTTCCCCCCTGAAAAAGTGCCGGTAGGCCAAATAAATCTGGGAACCTCTGTACTAGAGGAACACATGCCCCGTGGTTTCCCTTTCTGCTTTGCGGAATCCGTACGGTTGCCAGGTCCCTCCTGGCAACTGGTGGGGTGGGGGAGACTTACTGGCAGCGGGTGAAAGCCTAGGCTGGTAACATGGTAAGGTTTAGGAATTTCTCCTGGACTCGGTGGAAAGGACCATAGAGACTAGGGAAGGCAGCCTAGAGCATCACCTAGAAGTGACATCACATTATCCCCAAACTCCACCCTCCCCAAGCACCACCTAATTTTATCACCATCTGCACACACCCCAGAGCAGGAGGCTCAGAGGCTCGGTTGTGCGTGAGCAATCCTGTAACGATCCTTGCTCACGGACTTACTGGGAGATTTTGCAGTTGGTAGTGGCCACGTAGCGCCCGGTGTAGTGGATGTTGCATCTCACCACGTTGTTGGTGAAGTCCGACTCCATCACGATGTATTTGGGGTTCACCTGAACCTGGGAAAACAAGCGGTGTGAGTTGGCCTCCAAACTGGAGATGGGAAACCCACGATTAGGAGAAGAGACTGGATTTATACCCCACCCTTCACTACCCAAAGGAAGAGCAGCTTACAGTCTCCTTTCCCTTCCCCTCCCCACAACAGACACCCTTTCAAGAACCGCCCTTGAGAAAACAGCTCTGAGAGAACTTGTGACTGGCCCAAGGTCACACCAGCAGCTGCATGTGGCAGAGTGGGCAATCAAATCCGGTTCTCCCATATTAGAATCCACGCTCTTAACCACGACACCGATAGCCTTTTGTAGGAAGTTGGAGGCAACTTCTTGAAATTTGTTTGGACATCACCTGGGGCAGGTGATGCTCTGTATTCTTGGTGCCTGGGGGGGGGGGGGAAACAGGGGGAGGGTTTCTGTTGTCC